GGCGTCTCCTTCCTGCTGCTGTTGCCCGCCGCCGATGACGTCTGCTCCGCCCCCGGACAGTCCAACCCCTACACGCCGCTGTCGGGGTTCCTCCACCTGCCCCTGCAGATGTTCGAACTCGGTAAGAGCACGCAGCAGCGCGTTACATCGGTTTGATGGCACGGTGACTTTCAGGGATGACACATCGCGGTGGATCTAAAAGGCGGAGCAGACGGCTCTGCTGGGAACGAAGCAGCGGCGAGGTTCACGAGCACGGAGGCGCCGAGAACGACCCGCTGAGGCGTTTTTAAGAGACGGAGACGCTGGGAAACACGGTGAACACGTTAGAAGCTACCAAGCAGAACTTTCAAGAGCTCAATGAAACGAGACGACTGCAGAAGGACTGAAGAACGGGGATGTGGAGCGCCATCTCCAGGTTTTAGGAAGTCTAACGTTCCAATCAGGCCGTAACCAGCGAGCGTGTTGGAGAAGCATCACAGAGCAGCAGCTCTGTTCACCTACACCAGCTCTTACAGGAAGTCGTCAGCCGACTGTCCCGCAGCCCTGAGCAGCTCTGAGGCGGGCTCTCAGGTCCACGGGCTCGCTGTGCAGAGCTTTGGGCTTTTATTGTGGCGGGATGAGCAGCACAGACGGCGGCACAGACGCTCAGGTCCGTCTGCGGAGCCGAGCATTATATCAGTCTGCAGCCAATCAGAGCAACGCTCGCTCTGTGTACGCACCGCTGCTCGCCGCGCCGGCCGAGTCAGACCGCCACGATGCTTCGAGTGTCCTCTCTCACGTCCTTTCCTTCTCTCCTCAGTGCACTTCTGCTCCTACAAAGAGAAGTTCATCAGCCTGTACTGCCGCCTGTCCTCCGTCCTCGACCTGGACGCCCTCATTACCCAGCAGGCACTGCGGGAGGCCATCACTGACGGCGAGGTGGCCACGGCCAAGCAGAGGCACCAGCTCATCCTGGATTACATCCAGGTAACTTTTGGTCGTCTTTAACCTTTTGACCTATAAATTTCCCAGCATGCATTTCACACACTCAGCATCACCTTAAAGTTCTCACGACGAGTTTTCTGTTCTGAGACGCTGTGGCTCAGGGTTAGTCCAGGTTCCTCTCACACTCGTCTTTGTGTGGAGCTTCATCCTGAGCAGAGCGCGCTCCGTAACGTCCTCATCAGCTCGCTGCGTCGCTTCATTTCCTGTGGACACGGCGTGGGGCTGGTGTAATGGCGTGGACGCGGCGTTGGGCTGGTGTAATGGCGTGGACGCGGCGTGGGGCTGGTGTAATGGCGTGGACGCGGCGTGGGGCTGGTGTAATGGCTCACATCGGGCTCAGCAGCAGCTCTTTGTAAGCGCTCGGCAGCGACGCCGCGCTCTGTGGGACGAGCAGGAATCTCCTTCGTGTTTTCCTCGCAGCAGACTCGCCGCATTCTTTCCAGTCGAGTCATCGCCGCTGCCCGTCTCCCCGCCGCGTGTCGGCGGTTGGCTGACTCTGTGAGGACCGCCTCTCTGACAGCAGGCTAATGGCTGCTAATCACACTTTACTGCCGTCCAAAGAAAACATGTTCTTCAGTTTCCAGAGGATTCGTGACCACATCAGCAGCTTATGAAGAGATCCTGTCTCATATGTAACACGTGACCTCACTGATGTCCACAGTCATGTGTCACTTCGGCTAAACGACGCCGTCTAATAATCTTTGTTTGTTTCAGGCAAATATTCACAATAAGCTGTGACGATCCCACTGAGAGCCCACAGACGAAAGTCTCACGTTTTTACGTCGTTTCCACGGGAACAGCACAAACTAACAGCTGATGGATTCAAGCAGCTTTTCTGTTTCTGGGCTGAAAATTATTTGTATAAAGTGTTTTTAACCTTCCAGCCAAATTAGACTTTACCGAGTGGACGTGGATCCGCCACCAGGCCACCCGCATATAATTGTTCTCCAAACAGGAACACGGTTACACGGGAACGCCGAGGTGCTCGTGCTGGCATGTAGTCAGCTGACAGTGTGGATGCATGACTCCAGAGCCAGTGGGTAACACGTTGTGGAAGCGTCACCATAGAGGCGGGTGGTGGTCAGATCAGTGGGATCAATAAGCAGGCGGAGCTACTCTGCAGGACCAATAGGATGAAGAGTACAGCCGATTAGACTGCAGCTGATTGTGACATCATTTGATCGCTTGTTTGAACTGCAAACATTTGCCTCTTTCGTTCCATCCGACCCACATGTTGACGTTACCGTCGTGCACAGAGCGTGCACGCCACAGACTGTCACTCGTGTTTGTTCGATAGTGTCAGAGGCGGAGCCTGACTCCTGATCATAAAGCTCCACCTCCACAGCTGAACTCAAAAGTGCCGTTAAATACACAAGTTTACTTTCAGCGTCAGTAATGTTGTTATGACAGAATCTCTCACAGCAGCACCAAACTGTTCATCATCAGGCTTCATCACAGTTATGACGCCAAAGACGAGTAGATCCTCAGAAAAGCTCTGCTGTTTGAGTAAAGCTGTGACTCCGCCCATCGAGCTGCTTTTGAGGGTTAAACTTGTTTTTTCTGCGTCTCTGTAGCAACTGGACGAGATGCGGCGGGACCTTCGCTGGATTACGGACGCCCTACAATACGCACGCTACAAGCAGCCCCGAGGCGGCGTGCCCATCACCTGCTTGGTGGATGCCAGCGTTCCTGAGAGCGACTCCGGTCAACAGAAGACAGACTCCACTTCCTCAAACATGGACTACCTGCCCACGCCGTCTCCTTCCCCGGAGCTGCGCCGGAGGAAAGCCGTCAGCGGTGAGGCGTCAACAAATTAAACTTCAGGAAAACAAGCAGCACTCAAAGCTAACGTTGATCCTCTGTCATCTAGAGTCGCTGCTGGGCTCAGATGAAGATGCGTCCTCGGAGGTGTTCCTGCCCACAGACAGCGACTACGACTCCAGCGACGCCCTGAGCCCCCGTGACCTGGACCTGCTCTATTCTCCGGGCCAGGATCTGTCCCAGCAGGCCCTGCACTCGCTGGGCGGCAGCGCCCCGGACGTGCTCCAAATCAACGACCTGCGGTGAGCGCTTTCTTTAACCCTGCTCGTCTCCGTGTGTGATCAGAGTCGGTCCACAGCGCTGTGACCTGCTCACCTGGTTCTCACAGGCCTCAGAGTCACATGACTTTTACTTTCGTTTTCATGTCTTCAGATTTTAGCTTCTTTGAGTTGTTGAGCATCAATCCTCCATGTTGTTTGGGTAATCTGATTACTTTCCTCATGGTTTCCACTCAGGTATAGCGTGTGCCCGGCTAAAGACCTCCCCCTCTCCCCCGTGGTGAAGGATCCTAAGGACGCTCCCCTCTCCTCACCTCTCCTCCCTCGCTCGCCCTCTCGCTATCGAACCCTGCCCACCTCCCCCTCCCTCCCCCTCTCCCCCAGGTTCTCCAAAGATCTTCCCCTGTCCCTGTCCCCGGCTCTGTTTGACACCACCCGGACTCTGGAGGGCCTCTCGCTCTCAAAGACCCACCACGAGGGCCCCGCCCCCCTCCGGACCCTCGCCAACCCACCCGCCAAACGTAAGATCCTGTCCAGGAGCCACCGCGGGCAGTACTTCAGCGGGCCCCAGCGCTGGCTCAGGGGCCACAGCGGGGAGAGTCACACCGGATCGTTGTCAGAGGGAATCTACACCAAGCAGCTCGACCCCGACCTGCCCCTGCCGGGGGACCTGCCCTCCCCGGATGGCACCACCTATGTCAGCCACGCCTCCTGTGTCCTGGAGAGCCGCAAAACCCGACACCGGGAGCCGCGACCGCACGTTCGCAGGATATTCGTTGAGCCCTGCAAAGAGCTGTCACCGGGCCACGAGAGAAGGGGGTGGGAGGAGGAGGAGGAGCAGGGGGCAGTGGTGATGGAGAAGGTGAAGGCCGCAGGCGTGTCGGTAGTCGTGGAGGGGGAGGAGCCAGAGGGAGCCACCGCCCAGGAGGTGGACTCGGATGACCAAACCAACGCCCAGGTGTCGGAGATCCTCAGCAGCACGCTTTAAGTTCTTCAGACATATGTAGGTACCAAAACCAACAAGGCATGATGTCACTTCCTGTTCTCTACTTAAGCAGATTTTCATGATTCATAGTTCATAATAATCCTTCTTTATCTGGTAGTCTGCATTCCAACCTCTGTCTGAAACAAGCTGTTTTAGCTCCTCCCCTTTTAAGCAAACACTCTTCTGATTGGTTTCCCCTCACAAACAGAAGGTCTAAACAGTAGGTAGGCGGGGCCATGTAACTGCTCTGAGCTCATTATTAGAAACTTTGGTCACGATCAGTATAAACAGTCGACAGTTGTGAGAAACTATTTGTTTATACTGTCGACCTGAAGAGTCGCCCCCTGCTGGACATTAGAAAGAATGCAGGTTTCAGATTATTCACAGTATCTCACCTAACTATTCCCCGCCCTCCTTTTTTTACCACAGTGGTGATTGGCTGGGTGTGTTGCTGACGAGCTGCCCTCCGACCTCCGCAGATTGTAAACTCAACTAAAGTTGCTGGTTCAACTCTGCCACGCCTCAGAACCGACGGCATCGACTGTTACCCAGGAAAAAAAATCAATGCAACGACAAACCAAGCACTGCTTCTCCGACCAGGAACTTTGCACACGACTCCGCATGTCGACCAACAAAAAGAAAAGAAAAAAAGGTGGTTTGATTGATTGTTGCGCTTAAAAAATCCCAGTTTAGAGTTATTTTTTCGACCCCGCCCTCAGAGCATGGATACCCACCCTCGACTTGAATGTACGGTTCAGCCTGTTTGTTCGTGGCCGCCTGTGACGATCCAATCCCGTCTTTCAATCACTGTTGTTCTGAGCTGCTCCTGTGTGCTGTCCTGGTGTTAAAAAGAAGAAAATATATATAAATATATTAATCGCTGAGTGTTGAGCACGGAAACGGCCTCAGTCACTAAACAAAGACCACTAAAACCTTAAAACATGAAGTATTTTTATATTTTCAGGTTTAAAGACCAACTATTTTACCTGGAATGTGGATGACTAGTCGGAGCTGTATTTTGTTGGCATGAAGTAGTCTGTGGTGTTGTTTTTGTTTGTTTTAATCTTTGACTGAAGCTTTACGTCCAGTTTGTGCTTCCTTTCTTGTTCGGCATGATGATGTCAGGGAGTCGGTGGGTTTCGGTTTAGCCTTCGCCGCGTGGTCAGACCTGACGGTGTTTGTGCTGTGTTGACTTCTTGTTCAGCTTTTTCCACGATGGCGGTGTTTTCTCTTCTGTTTTTCTTTTTTACTTAAAACTTGCAGCAGCTCCATCTGTGTTATAGAGAAGTGATGTAGAGTGGAGAGCGGATGCACAGATTCTTAACGTATGCACAGTATTTTAAAAGTGCATTTTTAACGTTTGCACATAGCGATTATGGAATTAAAGCTAATTAAATATTTGATTAAATTGGGCATTAACTCTGGCAGCTTCTACCACAGTGACTGTACAAAGGTTTAATGTCCTACAAAGGGTTGACGATAAAGCGTCAGTTTACAGGTTTGATTCTTTCTCCAGATGATCTTTAGTGATGTCTGAAGATTTCAGCTTTACAACCAGACGCGCAATAAATGTACCAACACATTCCTGCTGCAGCTGTCTCGTTAGCACAGCTCATGGTGTAGTTAAATCATATATTCGTTTTCATACTGAGAGTTACGGAGAAGATCGTTACCAAAATCATGTCCGTGCTAAAGGTTATCGCCAATATCTGAACGGAAGCTGAAGTCATTTAAAAATCAGATTATTGCGGTTTCTCGCGTGATGTCATGAACACGTCGTCTGCCGTGGACGAGATGCAACCACCATGGTTACTATGGAAATGTGTATTCCCGAACTGATTGGCCTTGGTTCCTGAGGTCTTTGGTTGAAATGGGTTGCCAAGACGGTGGAACACCAAAAACGTCTTAGCGATCACTTGTTGCTCACAGGTTGTCTGTAGTTTTTCACGTTTGCTAACTGTTAGCCCGGCTGTAGTAAAACCAGAAATGATGGAGAAGGTTTGTGTCATACTTTGGACGGTGTTTGTTTTCAGGTCTGTTTCTTCCATTCGGACTAAGACCGCAGCAACATGTTAGGAACCAAAGTCATCACAAGGAACTTTGGACAGTTGGAGAATGCACATTTTCCTTAGCAAGGGTTAGTTACCCCTGATCGGGCCGTAGACCTGCGTGGCTGACACTTTAGTAATCATTTACCCCTCGCAACTGGTCTGGGAATGATCAGGAAACAACCGGTGGACGGCAGATGGTTTCAGACTGGTCTCAAGTCTTATAATTTTCTACGCTGACTCCATGACTGTCATGTGTCTATAATGGTGAACCAGTCACATGGTTAAACGTCAGTAACCTGTCATTTCATAGACTAAAGTTCCCTAAAAAATCCAAAGAACGTCATGTTTATCTTTTGGCTCCACATGACGACAAAACGAACGTTAGCGCACTAGCTAGCATTAGCCAGAGGAAACACCAGTTTTTTGTAACGAACATAGGTTAGCCAAACAGGAATATCAGACAATTTTACGATCTATCCACTATTTTAACGCAATTTAGTTACTTTAGCTAGCTAAACTAACTAGGACCGCTTGCCAATGTTATTGTGGGCAAAAACTGTGAATCCTAATTAGCCAGCTAGCAAAATTATCATTATTAAGTCTAAGATGATTGAGTTGAAGCAAAAGCATTAAATTAAAAGATGTGTTAACGTAGAGGGATTAAAGGCAGGGCGGTTAGCCAGCTAACTGTAACGTCACACCGGCTATTTAGTGGAGTTTAAACATTTACAGCATTTTCTGTCAGCACTAACAAAGGTTTCCTGGACCTGATAAACAAAAAGCCTGAAGTTCTGAAGCTCGACACGAGACATGATTTTGGTATCGAACATCTGACGGTCAGCATTAGGCTACGTCCTCATGTACATGGGTATTTTTTAAAGCCAGGATTTCTTTATGAAAAATATCAAGAGCATGCCAGCAGGTGGCGATATAAGCCTCCCTTATATCGCCACCTGCTGGTGGCAGCTCAAAAGAATAAACAATAATTGTTTACTTTGGGACCAAAAGGCCCAGAAAAAGTCACAGTAACTAAATGCCTGTGTACATGTGGACAGGACCTTAAGCTAAACCAGTTTATAACGATTTCAATTTTATTTTTGTACCTGTGGCCACATCTTCTGATTATGTACTAGCAAAATTAATAAAACCTGATCGTAGTTATTCGACCCGAAAATTCAACCCACCGCGTGTCGTACTGTGAATTTCGATAGTTCTACAAAATGTTTGTGTTTAGCTGTCGACGTTCACGTTAAACGGCTATTCTAGTTTTAGTTTCCTTGTGCACGAGTACAAGACGACGCCAGCTAACGTTACATTAGAAATGTCATTTCCATCCATGCAGCAAAACACAGCAAACAGGGAACGCCGTAAAAAGTTTCCGTCAACATTTTTTATTTGATGCTTGAAAACATGAAAGCTGGATGGAAACTTGGCTGATGACTACAAAGGTGTTGGCTACAGCTATGGAAATAAAAGTTGTAATAAACAGCAGGAAGGAGACAGTTTCAGCAGCCGGGTGACTCGCTCCACAGTAACTTGAGTTTATTGATTTTGAGGCTTTTATTCTGAAAGGCTGAACGCCTAAACTTTGTTTTTATTTATTTCACTCTGTCTTCATGTTTTCTTTCTGCTGTTTTCATCACGTCTGGTATTTTGTCGTGATGTGCGGACTCAGAAACGCCGAGTCGACCTTCTGTTTGTATATTTCTGGATCCATTTATCTAAAGATGCCTTTTGCGTTCACTTTAATGCCACTTTATTTATTTGCAGCAGACGTTGATGACGTGTTTTTTATGGACTGCTTTACAAAAAGTGTTCATGCATTTTGACATTTTGCAACCTCACAGGAATGGATGTATTTTACCAGCTGAAATAAACTCATGTTGATGTCGTGCACTTCAACCTGCCACCTGCTGTTTGTGAGGTTTGTGCGCCGTGCCTGTGGCATTCTGGGTAAACAACACTCTTTATTCCTCAGGTGGTGTGTTCAGTCGCAGCTTTGCTTCAGAAAGCTCGGGTTTAACGCAGGTCTGGTTTAATGCTGACTCTAAATCAGGTTTTATACTTCCATTAATGTAAGTGTAATTAAGTTTTTCAGTTGGGAATAATTTAGACGTGATAACAGCTTAATGTCAGCGTTCAATCTGAATTAAAGCTTAACTTTAAATCAGGTCTAATCTGAGCTTTAAGTATAAGTTTAATCCAGGCTCTAAACCACATTTAAAACTGGTTTTAAATCTTCATACAATCTTAAATTGGATTTAAGTGTCTTAAAGGAGGCTTTAATTCAGGTTTAATGTCAGCTTTTTCATTCTGGCTTCAAACTAGTTTCAGTTCAGGCTTCACTTCTGATTCATGTCTTGCTGTGAACCAGGTTTAGCTCTGCTTAGAAGGGATTTATTGTCTCTGCAAAATCTGAATCACAGGTCAGAACAAAGGAGTCTGTCACAGCGCGAGGAAGCATGAACACAGTTTCACGTTTCTGAGTCTTCAACTGTAGAGGGTTAAAGCCACCGAGCGTTACTGTGCACGCTGTCTGTGGTCGCTCAGAGGTCAGCCCGTAGGTGTTGGAGGAATCGGCCGAGCTCCTGAGCTGCACGCCGGGCGGCTGCGGTCACAGGACGCCGTGTGGGAGGGTGTGAACCAGCTGGAATCTCACACCACCGCTGCGAGGGAGTTTTCCAGCTGGAGCTCCCGGAGCATTCAGGAGCGTCGGTCCAAGCCACAGGATCGCCGCTCTGCAGGCAGGACGGTCCAGCAGCTGCGAGCTGAGCAGACGTCATTCAGTTTCACCACAGCTGCATGTTTCTGACAGCGGAGCAAAATGTTTCAGTGAAATTAGAGAAAGTGTCCGTTTCATCGCCTGCTGACGCTTGGTGGAAACTTTGTTATGGTCTGAAACAGGCGCCATGGAGGGACGGCGTCCTGTCCCGTCACTGACCAGTGTTTGAGGGCAAGATCACTAAAGGACGCCGATGCTTTGATATGCTATGATTCAATTTAGCTTTATTTATTTAACAGCTGTTCACAACAGGCCTGCAGGTGCAGTGATGACGCCACGCGCCTGCTGTAGTTTTAAATGACGGAGCAGGTGGAGATCACTTTCAGCTCGTTCACTTCGAGTCACTGACGACTCTCCACGTAAACGCCCCCTGCTGCACTGCGGCTGAAGTGCAGCCACTTCCTGTCCGACGGGGTTTACGGCGGCTCCGTCCTCGGCCTCTGATGCCGACCCTTGAGTACACTCGGTCCTCTTTAAGCCGCCTCTGTGATGTGTAAGTGGATTATTTTGTGTTTGAATCTGTTTTTCATTTCAAAGTCTCCGATACGAGCAGATGTTGCGGCTGATGTGAACGCGCTGTAACGATCCTTCTGCTTCCTGCTTTTCCATCAACTCTTCTGGAGTCTTCTCGTGTCCTCGAGGCTTTTGGGGTAAAAACATTACGTCAGCTTCTCGTTGACTTATCATCAAAAGCCTCGTCGTGCCATTAGCGTTCTCCATAGTTTCCATTTAGCCGCTGTGTTTCGTCTTTCCACTGCAGACAGATCCACATGTTCTGAATCACGGTTTCCTTTGATTTTCCGAAGCCGGGCTGCGATACGGCCCAGCGCAGTGGATCAGTGGGTTTGCAGCCTTCAGTCGGGACTCCTGCAGGTCCTAACGGCTCCTCTGATGTTCAAATATAACGTTAGCGTAATCTTAATAACGAATCAAAGGGCCTCCCAGGATGAAGAGAAACAGGCCGGCTGCTTCGTCCGTGACCCGGCCAGATAAAACCGGGAGCTGCTGTTTGTTGTTGAGTAACTCTGGCTTTGATGGCGAGATGACCAGGGCAATTTGGACGGTCCATTTGGGCGCGAAGGCTTCAAGGTGGCGGGATCAGGTCAAGCGCAAAAAAACAGACACGAAACGGACCGTTATCAGAGGTTTCAGCCCCGCCCTCCCACCGCCAGCATTATTGTTTCAAAGAAGCTGAACCCCGGAAACGAGTCGAAGCACAGACGTGCAAACAGATGTTTTTCTGATCGCTTTAAACCAGAACACACTGAATAAATTTACCTGTTAAATCTCCTCAATTTCCCCAATAAATCCTGACTGATGCGTCAATGAAAGCACGAGTGCGTGTTTGGGCTTCAAAGTGAAAGCAGGAGGACGGACGCGGTCTCAAAGGTGCACGTTTCCACAATCACAGGGCTGTGAGGCCTGTTTAAGAGAAGACCAAGGACGCGACTCCATCACGTCAGCAACAACAGCTCGAGCTGCAGAGTGAAAGCTGCTCTGCAGGATTCAAAGTTCAGGTTTTTACACCTGAGTTTAAAACAGTCGAGTTTTTTTAGGTTCTTGAGGATGTTTGGCCTCCTTTATCCAAAAGGATAAAAATACAATCTCAGAGTCGTCACATCAACACCTAAACTCGTTTTATAGGGTAAAGACGCTTCAATCATACAGAGAATCAAACACTCGGCGACAGTGGGGAAGAAAAACTCGAGCACTGCTCAAAACATCAGCAGATACATGAGGAAGGATCTGGAGTTAAATCCTCCTCGTGCTGTGGGGCAGGTTAGCAGAGGTTCAGATGTTTGCACTGTGATGAGTTTAAAGAGGATTTCGTGATTTGAATCACGCTCTCAGCCATGAACGCTGAAGTCGCTGAGGGTTAGCCCCCTGAGCGCTGACGCCAGCATGACAGCCGACGCCACGACAAACCGTTTTACGGCGTTCTCGATCTGGATGCGTCAGTAATGCTCTCATTTGGGACGTGAAGGAGTGAAGCTGTCGTCTGAGCTGATGTTTGAACCTAATGTGTTTTTCCCCATATTTGGATGTGAAGCTCTGACGGTTCCTCGGAGCTCACTGGTGCCTCTCCCTCCGACCTGGAAGGTGCTTGAGGCGCATCCATCGCAGCGTGGACTCGAGTCCCCCGGGGCTCCTCTGTGGACCCGATGTGGAAGTCAGGGATCAAAGGTTTACAAAGAGAGGAAGTCTTATCTTATCTCACTGCCGCTGACTTCCTCCCCACATATGACAATTTAATGGCGCCCGTCACACGCTGTCACCGGCCACAAAATTACCCAAAATTCAGCAGGAGCCGGAGGGGGGAGGACGGCAGGGGTCACAAAGAAAACCTCAACTGTTTAGGGAACCTTGCAGAGCTGGACGTGGATAAAAACCATAAATCAACATCTTTGTCATCCATCAGGATCTTCAGAGTTAGTTTGAACTGTGACGGGCGGTTCTGCATCTTTCCACATCAGGTTTATTCTGTCCACAGCGTCAGAGTGTTATACAGCAATCATTCGTGTGGTGTGAACGATCAGCTGTAAGACATTTATTTCTCTAAACACCTGATATGTACATGAGAATAACAACTTTATGAATTCAGAAATCACCTTTCAAAACAAAGTTTCTGAAGCTGGAGGTTCAGTGTCAGGTTAACGGTGAAGCTGACAGCAGAAATCAAACAGGATGAAACACATTCATAGAAACACACCTGCTGCCTCGTCACAGCAGGTAAGGAGGCTGAAATAAATGGAGCGCTGATCTAAGCTGCGTTCATTAAAGAGGCGTGTCTGAAGACATGAGTCACAGCGAGCTGCTGGCTTACAGGTGTCCACGCTGCTTGACCTGAAGACTCCGTCAGGGTGGAGATCGCAGAGCTCTCACCGCACCTGATGTCCACTCTGACTCTGACCCTTCCTCACTTTTTCAGGCTGAGCTGAGGGTGACGAGGGTCTGCTGCACGTCGTCGGCAGTAATGAATGTGACCAAAGACATAAAGAAGATGTTAATCTGAATGAACCTTCTGGAACAAATGTCCTGCTTTATATAAACAACAGTAAAAACGGGGTTTCCTAAGGACGGCAGCAGGAGGTGCTGACTGAACAGGTTTGTGAGGAGACAGCGAGAGAAAAACTGATATCAACAGTGAGTTTACAGGTTTGGGACGGCTGCTGTTCTCTGTGTTATATTTATTATATTATTATTATATTATTATTATTTATTATATTTCTTAAATGCAAATCTGTTACTAAACAAGGTAAACAGTTGATTTAACAGGTAAATGTCAGAACGACATTTGACCCCTCGAGGTTCAGGTTGAGGGTGCAGATGAGTCCACATGTGCAGAGTCAGACATGTTTGTTTAGCTGCTCTGATCTGCAGAAACTACAGAAATTAACCTCTAAAATATTTACATAGAAAATATTGGAGTGAAAGCAGAAAGTAGCAGAGTAACTTACAGTAACTTACAGTAACTTACAGTAACTTACAGTAAAAGTACTGATTCCTTTCAAAGCTGGGGGGGGCACCTCCAGTTAAATGCACCCCTGCAGCCAAGTGGCGTTTGGTACTTCCACAGTACTCTGGAGTATTTGTACCACTCACGCTTTTACTTCATGTCTGTGCTGACTTTATGAGCTTTCATCACGCGTGGATTCCTCCTGGTGCTTTCCTCTCCTCCTGCTCACGGTCACGCGCTTGTGCGTGAACTTGGAGTTTTTTGGGAGGGGGTGGGCCCGGCGTGGATGACATCAGCACCCTGCAGGATATCTGGCTGCAGCGAGCGGAGGCTTCACTC